GGCTTTTTTCTTTTTTCTTATGTGGTGCTGAGGAATCGAACCCAGGGCCTCAGGCATGCAAGGCAAGCGCTCTACCACTGAGCCACCTTCCCAGCCCCTAGGCATGTGCTATTAAAGGTAGACACCAATCCTTTCACTTTTACTACTTACTTGCAATGGAAACCAAAATAAGAAAGATATAAGAACAGGCTCTTTGGGGCTGGGAAGGTGGCTCAGTGGCAGAGTGCTTGTCTTGCATGCATGAAGCCCTGGGTTTGATTCCTCAGCACCACATAAGCAGAAAAAGCTGGAAGTGGTGCTGTGGCTCAAGTGGTAGAGTGCTAGCCTTGAGCTGAACTGAAGAGCTGAGTGACAGTGCCCCGGCCTCTGATTCAGGCCCCATGACCGACAAAAAAGAACAGGCTCTTTGTGATCAATGGTTTTGGTGTGAGGCAGAGCAGTGGAGATGTTTGCAGGCATCCCGGGCCACAGGTGCCCTCCATCTGTGAGTAGCTTCTGAGAACTCTTCTGGTGGACTGTCTGTTACAGAGATTACAGCAGGGATTGTACATTTCTCAGGGGCAGTCTGTGGGTGGCAGCCATCCCCTTGATTGTACCGCCCTTAGAGCAAGGTGGTGTGGGGCAGGGCAGCGAGTGTCACTGGCTCTGGATTCAGAGCCTGGTACAGGGAGGATGACTCACTGGAGAGGTGACACAACAGGTGGGAAACAAAAATTTCTCAGTAGTGATGGCTCCCGAAAGGCTTTTTATTTTTTATTTATTATTTGGTTTTGGTCGGTCACGGGGTTTAAACTCTGGGCTTGGGTGCTATCCCTCAGCTCTTCAGCTCAAGGCGAGTGCTCTATCACTGGAGCTACAACACCACTACTGATTTTCAAACAGTTTATTGGAGATAAGAGTCTCACGGACTTTCCTGCCTGGGCTGGCTTTGCACTGCGATCCTCAGATCTCAGCCTCCTGAGTAGCTAGGATTACAGGCGTGAGCCACCAGCACCCAGCCTAAAGGTTTTTTAGAAAACCACTTTTGTTTTATTTATTTTTTACCACTGATCTCAAAACCACACACACCTGGTGAAGGGTCTGATGGACGAACACACAGCTGTTGACGATGGCCTCGCGGTGCGAGGGGGGTTGGGGCAGTTTGTCGTACACCACCGGCATATAATCCGGCACCATGTAGTTAGGCTTCTCCAGGTCCATTTTGCTGGTGAATTCTTTGCCAACTTGATACAGTGCTTCTGTGGACCAGTCACCAAACCAATTTAACACGCACCTGAAAAGGAAGCCCCTCTGTCAAAACAGCTCCCAAGAATGGTCTGTCCCGGGCAGGAAACAGACTGCTCTGACCGACCAACCGAGAGCCCGAGGAAGTGGGTACCTGTTGAAAAGGGCGGGCGAGGTAGCTGCCCGGTCCTTGAGCCCCTCTGAGGACGGGTTCATGGTGAACACCACGTGCAGGTTGCGGATCACCTGGCTGGTGAACCACTTGTAGAGCTCTTCGTGGGAGTCGAGCATCAGGCCCTCCTTCTGGGCGCCCTCTTTGCACTGCGTCATCAGGGTGGCATACTCATCTCCTTCAAAGAGCCCAGGAACCTGAGGGTAACACAGCGCTGTGACTTACTGGTCCCTGCAACGCGACACCATTAACACACCACATGGTGAGACACGCTGGGTAATCACCTCGCCATTGGCCAAAAGGGTGTTCATTCGCTCCAGGAACCCAGAATCTAACACGTTGGATTCATCCATGATGAATGCTATCTTCTCATTTTTACAGCCAGAACGTCTCAGCACTGTCCGGAGATCTTCATCAAAGTCTTCCCCTGTATACTTTCTGTGGACCTACAACAGAAGCAGTTGACTAACAAGTTAGGTCCCTTTTTATGCCACAGTTCTGTTACGTGTTAGAACAAGAATCCATTATTGGGACTAAGCTCTACTGAAAGACCTACCTTTATCTGGTACACACTCAAACCATTCATCCAGGCGACGAACCGAGACAGGGTGGTCTTTCCTGCACCACTAACACCAATCAGAAGCAAGTGGCCTTGTGGCTGACGGAATATTCTGAAACATCATCCGAGCCAATGAGTTTCAATGTTTGTATGCCTCTCTCCCTGTTTGATACTCATGTCCTAAACTTTTAGAGTTGTGACCACTGCATTCTCAAAGCGTGGTAACCTGATTGTTGTTGGTTGTAGGGCTTCAACTCAGGGCCTGAGTGCTATCCCCTGAGCTCTTTTGCTCAAGCTAGCGTTCTACCACTTTAAGCTACAGTTCCACTTCTGGTTTTTCTTTTTATGCTGGTCAAGGGGCTTGAACTCTGGGCATGGTCACTGCTCCTAGGCTCTTTTGGCTCAAGGCTAGCTAGCACTCTTCCACTTGAGCCATAGTGCCACTTCTGGCTTTTTCTCTGATTAATTGGAGATAGAAGTCTCACACACTTTCCTGTCCGGGTTGGCTTTGAACTGTGATCGTCATATCTCAGCCTCCTGAGTAGCCAGGATTACAGGCCACCAGCAGCCGGCTGTAAGCTGAATTTTTACATAAACATTTGCCGGGCCCAGCGAGGATCCGAAGATCAACAAGACATGGCTGTGTTCTCCAGACTCATAGCTGACACGAGAGACAAAGCCAGTTGTAGGAGGTGGCAGAAAGGCTGTAATCCGTGGCAGGCCTGCAGTGCTAATAAAATAGAGTGAAGTTCTTGGGGGCAAACACTAGGAACAATTAAGCTGGACTTGGAGGGTGAAGACAAATGGCTGAAAGGCTGTGGGGGAGGGGGCACCATGAAGCCTGGTCTGATCACCCTGTACCCATTTACTCAAGAACAGCGAAGCCCAAGGGTATATTGTAAAAACAAAAAGCCTACCTGTCAATCCTGAGCACATGGTCTAGCACTTCATTGAACAGCACTAGAGGAACATCAAGCTCTTCTTCATAGAAGACTTTCAGCCTAGCTTTGACATAATCTCTTAATTCTTCTTGGTCAACTGGGATGTAATCCTACAGAAAAGAGATAACATAAAAAAGTACAACAAATATGCCAGGTGCCAGTGGCTCACGACTGTAATCCTACCTACTCAGGAGGTTGAGATCTAGAGATTGCTGTTCAAATCCAGCCCAGGCAGGAAAGTCCATGAGACTCTTTATCTCCAATAAACCACTCAGAAAACCAGAAGTGGTGCTGTGGCTCAAGTGGTAGAGCACTAGCCTTGAGCTGAAGAGCTGAGGGACAGCGACCAGGCCCAGAGTTCAGGCCCATGACAGACAAAAAAAAAAAAAAAGGAACATGGGAGGTGGATGGGATGGGAAGGGAAAACAAAGGAGGAGGCTACAATGCTTGATGAGAAATGTACTCATTGTTTTGCCCATGTAATTGTAACCCCTCTGTACGGTATTTTCACAATAAAAGAAAGAAAGAAAGAAAAAACATTTCTGCACAGCTACGGACATAGTTGCTAAACTGGGAAAAGATCTTTACCATCAATATATCAGACAAATGACTAGTATCAAATGTATACAAGGAGCTCAAGAAACTAATCTCTCCCAACCTAATAAACCATCACTCAGTGGGCACGGGAGCTAAGGAGAGACTTCTCAGGAGAAGAGGTGAGAATGGCAAAGAAACACATGAGGAAATGCTCACCATCCCTGGCCATAAGGGCAATGTAAATCAAAACAACTCTGAGATTCCACCTCATCCCTCTAACACTGGCCAACATTGTGAATTTGAACAACAAATGCTGACAGGGATGTGAGGAAAAAGGAACCCTATTACACTATTGGTGGGAATGTAAACTAATACAACCACTCTGGACAGCAGTCTGGTCTGGAGGTTTCTCAAAAACCTAAACCTAGACCTTCCCTACGACCCAGCCACACCACTCCTAGGCATCTACCCTGAGCATCACGAGCCAGGATCTGATAAAGACACCTGCACATGCATGTTCACTGCTGCACTGCTCACAATGGCCAGACTATGGAAACCGCCCAGATGACCCACAGGAGATGAGTGGGCCCCAAAATGCGGCACCTATACAAAATGGAACTTACACAGCCATTAGAACGAGTAAAATAACGTCACCCGCAGGGAGACGGGTGGAACTAGAACAAATCATGTTAAGTGAGGTAAGCCAAGCTCAGAGAAAGTAACGGCGGTGCATGTTCTTTCTGATAAGTGGAAGTTAGATTATGCACCGGGATATGATAAATTATACAGAATTCTAGATATTCACACACAGATCAAGAGAGGATACTCAGGAGAGAAATACAAAGGGGCAATGCCCAAGTGCTTTTTTGCATTTATATAAAATAATATATATAGTGAAACAAATTCCAAGATAGGGAAACAAGAGACCTCTTTTTCTTTTTTCTCTCTCAGTTTTTGAGGATTCTATCTTCTTCCCCTTATGTATCTCTTTGGGAGAGTAAAGGGGAGGTACAGAACTCAAGGGAAAAAGATGGAAAAATGCAGCAGTGGAGCTCACTGGACACTGATGAAACTCACGTAGATATGAGAGGGAGACTGAGAAATGAGGGAACAGAAGACTGTACAAAAGGAAATGTACGCAATACCTGACTCATGTAATTGTAATCTCTACGTATATCACCACTATAATAATAAACGAGTAACAACAACAAAAACCAAACCAATTCATAGCTATGCTAGAAATGTCTACCAGAAGACACTGCTCTGTCTTTTTTTGTGCTGGGGACCGAGTCTAGGACACTGCACTTCCTAGGCAGGTGCTTTGCCACTGAGCTACATCCCAGCCCCATAAGACACTTCTCACACAAATCCACAACTGCCTCATGTCGGTGTGAAGCTGTGACGCAGCCACCAGCCACCTCCCAGGGTTTTCTACGAATGCTATGAGCACACTGCACTTCACATTTTTATCAGAAAATCAGTTTAGTCACAGGGAAAAAGAACCAGTGGGCAATGCGGCGGTACCTTGGACAGCCAGTTACTGTACAGGATGGGCCGGCTCATGGCTTTCTCTTTGTCTATGTTGGGGAAGTGCTTCAGAGCCACCATGTCAATGTTCTCGTCAGTCCAGCGCCGCTCCTCATCCTCCACGAGCCTGTTGGAGGGCAGCCGAGCATTAGAGCTGTCCAGGTCCACGAGGAAATGGCAGGCATGCGCCATGGAGGCCTGAGCAGTCACTGTAACCACGGGAGGAGCCCGTGGTTCTGCATCCTGAACTCAGGATGACTGAAACAGGCTGAGATTTTGAAACTCAGGGTCAAGACCCTTGCAACTATGCAACCATGACATTTGAAAGTTCTTTTAAAAATGTTTAATTGCAGCCGGGCGCCGGTGGCTCAAGTCTGTAATCCTAGCTACTCAGGAGACTGAGATCTAAGGATCACAGCTCAAAGCTAGCTGGGGCAGGAAAGTCTGTGAGACTTTTTTTTTTTTTTTTTTGGTCATGGGGCTTGAACTCTGGGTCTGAGCACTGTCCCTCAGCTCTTCAGCTCAAGGCAAGCGCTTTACCATTGGAGCTACAGCGCCACTTCCGGTTTTCTGGTGGTTTATTGGAGGTAAGAGTCTCATGGACTTTCCTGCTCTGGCTGGCTTTGAACTGCGATCCTCAGATCTCAGCCTCCTAAGTAGCTAGGATTACAGGTGTGAGCCACTGGCGCCTGGCTGTGAGACTCTTATATCCAATAAACCACTAGAAAACCGGAAGCGGTGCTGTGGCTCAAGTGGTAGAGTGCTTGCCTTGAGCTTAAGAGTTGAGGGACAGGGCCCAGACCCAGAGTTCAAGCCCCACAACTGACCCCCCCCCCAAAAAAAGATGTTTAAGTTGGGCGCCGGTGGCTCATGCCTGTAATCCTAACCTCTCAGGAGGCTGTCTGAGGATCTTGGTTCAAAGCCAGCTTGGGCAGGAAAAGTACATGAGACTCTTATCTCCAATAAACCACCAGAAAACTGGGCTGTGGCTCAAGTGGTAGAACACTAGTCTTGAGCTGAAGAGCCGAGGGACAGCGCCCAGGCCCAAGATGTTTAATTGCACTGACATAGAAGTGAACATATAAATCCAGTTTCTTTTTTTTTGTTGGTCTTGGGGCCTGAACTCTGGGCCTGGGTGCTGTCCCTTAGCTCTTCTGCTCAAGGCTAGTGATCTGCCACAGCACCACTTCCGGCTATGTAGTGCTGAGAAATCAAACCCAGGGCCTCATACATGGAAGGCAAGCACTCTACCACTGAGCCACCTTCCCAGCCTTTAAATCTGGTTTCTTTGTGAAAAGGGTCTGTGTTGCCCAGACTGGTCCTACGGGACTCCCCAGATTCCCCCTTCTTCTCAGTCTTCTCCATCTGCCAGTACAAACCACCAAATGTGGCTCAAATCTATTTTCTGAGCTTACGAGAAAGCAATGTTCCAAATATTATGGCAGCAGCATTAAGGGGACACACACGGGGCCATGGCGGTGGCGCAGGGTGTGGGGGGAAGGGCTCACAGGGCTCGCAGGGTGACCTGAGGGCTGGAACCTGGAGAAGCTGAGTGTGGCGTCTACCGTGCTGACTGCCAGAAGGGATGAACAGACATGCAGAGCGGGCTGGCCTGGAACTTGGCATCCTCTGCCATACCCCTTTGATTGTCATTTTGTGCTGGCATGAGAACTCCAGACCTTTTTCACTCACAGCCACATTTTTTGCTGGTTAACTGAAGATAAGAGACTTATGAGGAGCTGGGAAGGTGGCTCAGTGGTAGAGCGCTTGCCTTGCATTCATGAGGCCCTGGGTTCGATTCCTCAGCACCACATAAGCAAAAAGAAAAAAGCCGGAAGTGGCGCTGTGGCTCAAGTGGTAGAGTGCTAGCCTTGAGCTGAGGGACAGCGCCCAGGCCCAGAGTTCAGGCCCCATGACTGGCAAACAAAACAAAACAAGTCATTTCCACGACTCCTAGAAAGGTAAAGAGAAGTTTTTTGCGTGGCAAGTTCTGTGGAGACTGGTCTGCTGAAGCCTCCCATAAATGACCCTGCCTATCAGTTCCTGACCTCGAGCAAGAACCCACAGTAGCCAATAGGGAAACAAGGAAAGGGCAGATGGCCGGTGAGGAAGACTGAAGTGCAGCAGGCGTGGTGGGAATGCAAGCCACACCGTGGAATTGTGGGAAGGCCCAGACCTCGCTGGAACACAGGCTCTGACAAGCCACGCCCACAGCCCCTTACTACCCAGGCTGGAGACGCGCCTGCCAGCATTGGCAGCAGACTGCTGCAGGCGGCGTGTGGCAGTGACTTCCATTCCCTGCAAGCCCCACCTACTTGTGCACGCGCAGGCCCACCTCACACAGACCCAGGCAGATGAAGCAGAGGACGGAACCAGAGGGATCCTGGGCTTGCCTTACCTGTCCTGGAAGAGACGGAGGGCTTCGTGTGCCCAAATCCGAATGAGGCCTTCAACAGGCAAAGTCTCCAGGGGTCTTAGGGCCTCAAAGATACCCCTGACCCACCGCGTCATCTCCCGGGGTGAGTAGATGTAGTGGGGCTGGGTGTCTTGAGTGAATCTCTCCTGCAGGAAGGAGGAAAACACGTGAAGGTATGGAGAAATGAGTGAATGCAAAATGCCACAAAACGACTATGTCTACTAAAGACATAGAGTCTAGGCTGGAGGTGTGGTTCAGTGGTAGAGCATCTGCCAGCAAGATCAAGGCTCTGAGTTTAAATGCTAATACTGCCTCTCCCACAGCAACAAGAATCTAGACTTCGAATATTTAAGGATGAAACAGTAAATATTCCTAAAGATTTAAACTAGACTGGGTATTCGGTGGTAGAGCATATAAAACAACAAACCACCAAAGCAAAAAATAAAACAGAGTAAACAAGCTGGGAGCCTCCTAGATTCTAGGAGGCTGAGATCTCAGGACAGCAGTTCAGAATCAGCCTGGGAAGGCAAATCTGAGAGACTCTCATCTCCAAATAACCAGCCAAGCCTGAAGTGAGGCGTGGCTCAAGTGGTAGAGTGTCTGTCAGCTGTGACTGAAGAAGCTGGGTGCTGGTGGCTCACACCTGCAATCCCAGCTACTCAGGAGGCTGAGATCTGAGGATTGTGGTTCAAAGCCAGCTGGGGCAGGAAAGTCTGTGAGATTTATCTCCAATTAAACACCAAAAAAAAAAAAAACAAGAGATGTAGCTCAAGTGGTAGAGTACTAGCCTTGAACAAAAAAGCTCAGGGACAGGGGCTGGGAAGGTGGCTCAGTGGTAGAGCGCTTACCTTGCATGCATGAGGCCCTGGGTTCGATTCCTCAGTACCACATAAACAAAAAGAAAAAAGCCGAAGTGGTGCTGTGGCTCAAGTGGTAGAACATTAGCCTTGAGCTGAAGAGCTGAGGGACAGCGCTCAGGCCCAGAGTTCAGGCCCCATGACCAGACCTCTCCCCCCCCCCCCACAAAAAAAAACAACTCAGGGATAGCACCTATGCCCTGAGTTTAAGGTCTCAGGACTGGCACCTAAATAAATTAAAAAAAGAAAAAAGCAAGCCAATAAAACCAATTAAATACCAGAGTAAGTATCTGCAGTCTCGCAGAGACAAAGCCAAGGAAGCAGTGAGAGAAATATGGACAGACTATTAAGACTAGGCGGCTAGGCACCCTTCAGGGCCAGGACGGAGGCTGGGCAAGGGCATCAGGTTAACATGAAAACAACACTTCTAAGCAGCTGTAAACTGTGATTCTCAGATCTCAACCTCCTGAGTGGCTAGGATTACAAGCTGCGCAATTGGAGATGAAGCCCAACTCCATTGTTATTTTTTTTTGGTGGCAGTCCTGGGGCTTGAGCTGAGGGCCTGGGCACTGTCTTTGAGCTCTTTTTTCCTCAAGGCTAGTGCTCTATTACTTGAACCACAGCTCCACTTCTGGCTTTCAGGTTGTAAACTCGAGATAAGAGTCTAATAGACTTTCCTGCCTAGGTTAGATTTGAAGCCCAATTCTCAGATCTGAGCCTCCTGAGTAGCTAGGATTACAGGTGTAAGCCATCAGTGCCTGGCTTCCTTTTTTTTTGCCAGTCCTGGGGCTTGAACTCAGGGCCTTGGTGCTGTCCCTAAGCTTCTTATTGGTCAAGGCTCTACCACTTGAGCCACAGCGCCACTTCTGGCTTTTCCTGTTTATGTGGTACTGAGGAATTTAACCCAGGGCTTCATGCATGCTAGTCAAATACTCTACCACTGAGCCACCTTCCCAGATGACCCCGCCCCCTTTTAAAAAATGATTTATTAGGAAAGCAAAAGTAGACCTTGAGAGGCAGGGCAGGCAGTTGTTGCCCTTTGGAGGGCCGGCCCAACACACTGACGTAGCCTCAGTTCATATTCTACGAGAAAACATCAGTAACGGGCTGGGAAGGTGGCTCAGTTGTAGCGCGCTTGCCTTGCATGCTTGAGGCCCTGGGTTCGATTCCTCAGCACCATATAAGCAAAAAGAAAAAAGCCGGAAGTGGCGCTGTGGCTCAAGTGGTAGAGCGCTAGCCTTGAGCTGAAGAGCTGAGGGACAGCACCCAGGCCTAGGGTTCAGGCCCCACAACTGGACCAAAAAAAAAAACAAAAAAACAGGCAGTTCCCCCGGCGTGGACTTTCTGTCTCCTTGCCAGCGCTGCCCCGATGGCCTCCCAAACCCGCGACCCAGCCGCTGCCAGCGCTGCCGCCTCCCGCAAAGGAGCCGAGCCGAGCAGGGGCGCCACCTGGGGCCCAGTGGGCAAGTGGCTACAGCAGGAGCTGATGACCCTCATGATGTCTGGTGACAAAGGAATTTCTGCCTTCCCTGAATCAGACAACCTTTTCAGATGGGCAGGGACTATCCACGGAGCGGCTGGCACAGTATATGAAGGCCTGAGGTATAAGCTCTCCCTGGAGTTCCCCAGTGGCTACCCTTACAACGCACCCTCGGTGAAATTCCTCAGGCCTTGCTACCATCCCAACGGGGACACCCAGGGGAACATCTGCCTGGACATCCTCAAAGACAAGTGGCCGGCAACGTATGACGTCAGGACCATCCTGCTGTCTATCCAGAGCCTACTAGGAGAGCCCAACATCAAAAGCCCTTTGAACACACATGCTGACGAGCTTTGGAAAAACCCCACAGCTTTTAAGAAGTACCTTCAAGAAACCTACTCAAAACAAGTCTCCAGCTAAGAGCCTTGACCTGAGCTGTCCAGCTTCTCCTGTGTTGTCTGTTTTTTCCTTAGTCTACCTGTCCTTTTCCTTGACTTCTGTACAGGACTCTGTTATCTTGAGCTGTGGTGTTGTTTTTGTTATGTTTTCTGTTTTTTAAATTAAGATTTAAGTCCTTGCAATGTATATTAAATAAATAACATTTGGGTTGTTTTTGTAAAACAACAACAACAACAACAAAAAACCCAAAAAACAAAAAACATCAGTAGCCAGAGGGCCTGCGGAATGATGCTGAGGACAGAGCTGGCAGAAAAGCCCTGTATGAGTTCAGAATGCACTCGATCTTACCAGGTTCTGCAGCCCCTGAACTAACCTGAGACATGGTGTAGAACTCCACCATGGCTGCCGTGAGCGGCTCTGCGTAGGTGCGCAGGGAGGGGATGAGCCTCAGCATGGCGCGGTTGAAGGTGCCGTAGATCTGGGTGAGGGAGGCAGGTCCTGGGTAATCCACATACACCACAGGCACGTGCCGCAGGAACCTGTCAAGGACGGGCGGTTTGCATCCTTCCACTGTCTCAGCCCCCTCTGAATGGGCTGTGATGGAGGGTGCTTCTACTTTCTTGCCCTCCACATTATGCTCTGGCTGCCATCTCAAACACTAGGTTCAGAAAGCTTCAAGATCCAAGGAAAGATGGGAAATGGATTTGGCCCATTTTAACTTCAACCTGACCCTGCAATGGCAGTGGGCAGTTCACCTCCTCACAAGGTCAATGCTTTTCATTCTCCTTGCTACTCACAAAGTCAATCCTTTCATTCTCCCCCACCCTCCTTCCTTCCCTGTTCTTTTGTTTGTTTGGTTGGTCAAGGGGCTTGAACTTTTATCAGGGCTTGGCGCTGTCCTTGAGCTCTTTCACACAAGGCTAGTGCTATACCACTTTGAGCCACAGCACACTTCCAGTTGGAGATAAGAGTCTCACAGACTTTCCTTACCTAGGCTGGCTTTGAACTGTGATCCTCAGATCTCAGCCTGACTAGCTAGGATTACAGGTGTGAGCCTCATTTCCCCCCCTTTTTTCTTGTAGTGTGGTCTGCCACTGAGCACTGGGCACCTGCCACTCAGCCTCAGGACTGGCAAAGAAAGCACTAAGCCCTAATGCTTATTTATTTACTTTTGGAGACAAAGTCTTTCTTTGTAACAGAATGTCCTTGAAACCCTTCTTGTCTTGTGGCAGTCTCCCAAATGCCAGCATTTCACATGTGCTGCTCCATCACATTCAGCTCCTAATGCTTTTTAAAGAACATGTTTCTAGCCAGGTGCTGGTGGCTCACACCTGTAATCGTAGCTACTCCAGAGACTGAGATCTGAGGATCGTGGTTCAAAGCCAGCCAGGCAGAAAAGTCATAAACTATCCAGAAAAAGCTGTAACTGGTTTTGGCTCAAATAGCAGAGCACTATCCTTGAACAAAAGAGGCTCAGAGACAGCACCCAGGCCCTGAGTTTAAGCCCCAGGACAAGCACACACATGCACACACACACAAAACAACAAAAATAACACATTTCCATGGAACCTGCACAGTGGGCGTGCCACGAGAGCAGCCCTGTGACAGGCAATTTTTGGTCACTCTCATCATTCACACCAGCTGTTGGCTATGCTGTGCTATAGCCCTCCTGGAAGTGGGGTACCTGTGGGACAAGGGCTTTCTCCCAGGGTCGGTGGGGGGATTACAGGCCCCCACAAACTGGATCCGCTCTAGCTTCACCCATGTTTGATCTGAGGTGCGGTAAAAGCCTCCGTGCTCCACCATCTGAAGGAAAGGAAGTGGGATGATCAGGAAAGAAGCGAGCCGGTGGCCGTGGTAGGGAGCCAGGCTGTGGCGGGGCGGACCTGTCTGATGAAGGAGATGACCCTCTGCGTGCCGTATTTGTCCATGTCCGGCAGGTTGATTTCATCACAGAACAGCACCAGCCACTTTCCAAGCTGAACGGGAGCCAGGACAACGCCGTTGGGTGTGCGCCTGTACTCGCAGTAGTGGTCGAAAGTCTTCAGGAGGAGCTCTGGGGTAGTGGCACTGGAGAAGTTAAGGCCGACGACCTTGGAAGGGACACAATCAAGTTAGAAGAGCACACCTGCCCTGAAGCCCTAGAGTCCAGCTGCTCCCTCCTCAGCCTCCCTACCTCCATGTCAGGCAAGGCCCGAAGGGCGCTGAAGAGGGTCATGGTCTTGCCAGAGCCTGGAGGGCCACACAGCACCAGCGGCTTGTGCTCAGCAAGCCAAGTGTACAAGAGAGCTTCATGGCGGACCGTGTCCAGAGTTGGCACGACGACATCCGGGGCTGCCACCTTGTGTGTCTCCACTTCAATCTGGGGCACCTTGGCCTGCCACGGAGACCATTCTCCACTGATGGACACCTGCACACGGAGACAGGGAAGCAGTGCCGTGGGGCCCAGCGGAGCACGGGAGGAAGGGAGCCACGCGGTGTGAGGCGGGGCCGGAGGCGGGGCGGCGCACTCACTTCATAGTCGATGATGGGGATGTTGGGGGCAGTGGGCAGCGGCACCGTGGTGATGCGTCTGATGTATTCACCCAACTCTGCTCTCATTTTCAGCCGGCTGTCTCCAGACAGGGACCAGAGGATGGCGTAAACCAGGTATCGCTGTCGAAATAATTATAATTCCATTTTTACAAAATTTCAACAAGACAAAAGAAAGCTACGGACAGCGGAGTTCGCCTCGAAACCTTCTGGGCCTCAGGATAGCCTCTGAGCTTTCCTCGGCCCTCAGGAAAGCCTAGTTCTCCTGCAGGAGTGCAACAGGGCAGAAGATTCTGGACTTTCCCAGACCCCCAGCTACCCGTGCACCCCTGACCTGAATGTAGCGCTCCAGCTGCTCGATGTGCATAGGGAAGTCGGGGTGGTTGGCATTGTACTGCGCCACGTTGCGGCAGGCTTGGTGCAGCATGGAGAAGAGCGAGCCCAGGCAGCGCAGCCGCGTCAGGTCCATGATGTGCTCCAGCTTGAAGGCATGCTCCAGGGCCTTGGTGACCAGGCCGTTGGACGTGAAGTATGGCTGCATGATGGTTGCCGCATCCCTTTGGATCTAGGGGAAAGAGGGAGTGAAGGATGCATAGCTATCACTTCAAAGAGCTGGGGAGCTGGACGTAGAGCCAGACTGAGCTCCACAGTGGGACTCTCAAGAAACAAAACAAAGCTGGGGCACTGCACTAGCTTAGCCTCTGCCTAGGAATCATGTCAAGTGGCTTTTTTTTTGGTGGGGGGGAGAGGGGGCCAGTCATGGGGCTGAACTCTGTCTGGGCGCTGTCCCTCAGCTCTTCAGCTCAAGGCTAGCACTCTACCACTTGAGCCACAGTGCCATTTCCGGCTTTTTTTCCCCTGCTTATGTGGTGCTGAGGAATCGAACCCAGGGCTTCATGCTTGCAAGGCAAGCGCTCTACCACTGAGCTACCTTCCCCGCCCGTCAAGTGGCTTTTCAATGACTAATCCCACTCCTTCACCCTGGAAACCCTGCACAAAAGAACGGAGGCTCACTTCCTACAAGGAGAGCAGGGAATGATTCTCTTTCTTACTTCTCCCTTGTTTTAACCCTGTCATACTAAAAGAAATCCTTGCTAAAGCTTTCGTCAATTTGCAGAGAAAATCAAGGGATTAAGTGTCCCCTGGGCGCGGACGCGTGGCCCCACTTGGTGGCACCTGCAGCATCGGGGAGGCAGCCTCTTCTCCCTCGTCCTCCTTGCCCTTGCGCCGCCGCTGGGCCTCATCCTCCCCTTCGTCCAGGGGGATGCTGCGCAGCCTGGCCAGGAAGTTGTTGAAGATCATGTCTGTGCTGAGCACGTCCTCGCTGAACCACACCATGCCACAGCGTGACACCGTGGCCAGTGTTGCATACTTCAGGTCCTGTACTTCAAACATTATTCGCACCTGGAAGAGATTTAGTAGAAACCTTGCTGCTTATTTTGTATATTATATATACATATATTCTTCAAGTATTATTTAAACTTAATTTTTCTAGGGAGGGGAGAAAAGAAGAATGGAGGGTAAACAATTCTGAAGTGCAATGAAGTATGTATGATGATGGCATGAAGAATCTCAATGCATGTTGCTGACCAACAGGTGTCTGGGGCAGGGAAAGAGACCACAATAGAGAAGGTTACGCTGATCAAAATATAATATACCCACACCTGAAATACCATGGTATAACCCCTTTGTATAACTAATACAGACTTCAAAAAAAATCCAAGCTGGATACCAGTGGCTCATGCCTGTAATCCTACTCAGAAGGCTGAGATGTGAGGATTGAGGTTTAAAGCCAGGCCAGGCAGTAAAGTCACTGTTTTAGTTCCAAGAAACTACTCAAAAAACCAGGAAGTGGCCCTGTGGCTCAAGTGGTAGAGCTCTAGCCTTGAGCACAATGAGGCTCAGGGATGGTGCCCAGGCCTGGAGTTCAGGCTCTGGACCAAACAAACAAACAAACAAAACCCAAATTGAGACTGACAGGAATGTGAGTGAGCTCTGTTGTTGGGAGTGGGTGGGTGCAGCAGAAGTGTGGATAAACAAAATTTTAAACATTAAATCAAACTGTAACATGTTTGTACATCACCTTTATGATAACTATAAAAATTGAAAAAAAAATAGAACAATTTTCTGGGCTGAGAATGTGACTTAGTGATGGAATGCTTGCCTAGCATGCATGAAGCCGTGGGTTCCATTCCTCGGCAGCACATACACAGAAAAGGCCGGAAGTGGCGCTGTGGCTCAAGTGGCAGAGTGCTAGCCTTGAGCTGAAGAGCTGAGGGACAGCGCCCAGGCCCAGCGTTCAAGCCCCACGGCCGACAATAATAATAATAAGTAAACCTATCAACAATTCATACTGCTCTGGCATCCACACTGTCTCCACAGGCCTGGGCAGGAAAGTGTGCGTGGAGGGCAGAAAGGCCCACTGCTGAGTTCTCTGTGCCAGGAGCCGGGGGCAGGATGGAAGCTCAGCTCCCAGTGCAGTGCGCACCTTTACCCCAAAGCACTGCAACCACGCTGTGGCTAGACTCAAGGTGCAGGCCTCTCATCTCTGTTTACAGGTAGGACACTGCTGCTATTTGGTGGGGTTGAGATTCTAATCATTTGGTCAGATTCCACAGCCTTTAGCCTTTATGCTACATTATCTCACTGGGAGATCAATCTGACAGTAGTTAGAATCTACTGGATAATCAACCACCAGAGGAACCAACAAATAAGACAGATTAAGAGGCCATCAGGGGGCTGAGAACGTGGCTCAGTGGTAGAGCGCTTGCCTTGCATGCCTGAGGCCCTGGGTTCGATTCCTCAGCACCACATAAGCAAAAAGAAGAAAGCCGGAAGTGGCGCTGTGGCTCAAGTGGTAGAGCGCTAGCCTTGAGCTGAAGAGCTGAGGGACAGCGCCCAGGCCCAGAGTTCACAGGCCCCACAACCGGACCCAAAAAAAAAAAAAAAGAGGCCATCAGTAAGGGCACACTTGCAAACTGGATTGATTCCACCGCTCTGTTCTAAGCAGTGGTAACCACCACTCCTGATCCTTCCAGTAAAGGCTTATGTTCACCAGCTTCTTAGACTACAGGGTTGGCCTCAACTCCTGTCCCTCCAGCCCTCACCAAGCTCATCAGCAAATGCTATCACCACCTTATAAACTGCAGTGCAGGGAGCCCTTCTCAGCCCCTCAGTGAGAGGGACGAGCAGCAAGGCACTCAATGGATGCCCCAACTGCACGCACCACCTTTCTTAGGCATGCTCCTGTGGTAAAGTATGACTTACTCATTAAATACGTAAGAGATGAACAACAATAACCTGACAGAACAATTACGGTAACAGACTAGTTATTAAAATGTATAAATCATGAGACTCTGGAATTTTCCAGAGTCTTTTCTGACTACAGTTCACCTTGGTGACTGAAACCTTGGAGAACAGAGTTGAATGAGGGGACCCCTGTCTAAGGAAGAGGCTCCCCAGCGCCCTCTCAGGGACGCAGGGCGCTGCGCACCACAGCTACAGGAAGGTATTTACATTGGGTGGAAGGCTGAGTCGCTCTCCGTTGGGCAGAGTCAGGAGTTTGTTGTCGTCGAGCACGGAATTCAGATTCTCAACCCACTCCGGGTCCACATCCCCATCAAACACGATCCACTGGCGTTTCTGTAGCTCACCTCTCACATTGTCTATGATCCTGGTTGGGAAGGATTTTAACACAGCTGTTGGTTAAGTCAAGATGTGAAAACCGAAACGCTCATCTGCTTTGGGCTTCCCAAGTGAGCTTTGTCTAGTCGGGAGCACAGTGAACCCGAGGCTACCCCGAGTGCGTTGGACCCGTACTCCCCCAAAACACAAGCACCAGTGAACGCAAACGCACTTCCTCAGTACGTGTGTGAAGAGCCCGTCGGTCCACTCCCGGGTGTTGGGGTCCAGGGTTCCGTAGAGGTGGTCTTTGCTGATGGCCTTCGGGTCAATGATGTGGGCCACGCCCTCCACGCCCTCCAGCCTCTCCAGAGCCTTCAGCAGCACACGCCAGGCCATGCTCTTCCCACTTCCTGAGGGCCCCACCATCATCAGACCGTGGTTGATCTGGGTGATCTGATAGAGCTGGAGAACCTGCAGGGCCAGAGCACAGACATCTTCAGCGGCCTGGGGTAACGTCAAGAGGAAACAGTCTGTGCATTCTTTTTTCCCTTTTCTTCTAAGGGAGCCGCGCCCACCGCCTAGCCTCTCCAGCAGCGTCGCCACAAGCTGCTGGGCTGTGAGCACAGCAGAGCAGATGGATTGATTACCTTCTCAACCCACATTCCGCCGACTTCTTCCCCGTCGCCGTATGTCAAGTACATCTCCCGACACACTTTCTTGAGCTCTTCTCGAAGGGCGGTCATCTCCCCTCGGTGGTACTGGACTCCGGGGAACACGTCCGACAGGAGACTGAAGAGCAGCGGGATGTCTTCAGCCACCAGCTTGGGCACCATGGTCTCACAGACGCTCTGTATCAGGATCTGTGGGGAGAGGCGGAGCGCGTGAAAGACGGACGGCAGTGACCCCACTCCCACCATCCACTGACGGAACTCGGAAGTCCATCACCAGAAGGGCCCAAGGTGAGGTCTGATCTGAGTTGGGGAAGAACTCTGATGCAAACCTCTTGTTCTGGCAGATTCTCTGCAATTTCTCCTTCATCAACTGCTTCCCCTCGTTCTTCTTTCTCCCTCTTTATCTTCTGAATCCTCTCCCTCTTCACATTGCCAGCGCTCACCAGCACACTCTTCAAAGCCCGGAGACCGAAGTCATAGTGGCTTTGAGACGACAGCTGCTCGTCACATAGTCTGCAAGGGGAAAGGATCTCTGTAACAACAGCGGGCTTAAGTAATGCGAGTGTGAAGAACGGAAGAATCACAGGTGAGTACTTTGAAAGCTATACCCCAAGTCTAAACGACACTTTTAGCATGAGATGGGGCGCACTCAACAACAGGCTACTCACTTGAAGAAGGGGACGATTTTGTTGGCCAGGACCTCGGCGGTCCGGAAGCCCTGTGAGTAGAGCATGACCTGTGCGATGAGCTGGCGGTCGGGCTTGGTCATGGCCAGGCTCCGGAACAGCTTCTTGAGGTTGTCGGGGAGGTTGGAGCGGCCTGCGTAGCCAGGGTTCATGGTGATGAAGATGGCCATGTCTGGGCTCACTTTGACTTGTTTGTTGAGCAGCTCACAAGTAATGGGGGCAGAGGCTGCAATCAGATGACGGTATTAATGCCAACGATGGGGAACACCACCTACCAACTTTCCAAAACCACACGACGCTGGTCTCCCATCCTCAGCCCAAAGCGCAGGACTCTTGGAGAGACTGGGGAGGAGACCTCCCGGGGGCCACGGCCAGCAGCCAGCACGGCCCCAGCCAGTGCCACACCGCAGTTATAGAAAGGGTAGCAAGTGCAGCACTCTGGTTTGTGCGCAACAATGCTGCTGAACACCACTGCACAGCACGAGGGCAGCCTCACCACGTTCAACATGCGACCCGAGCAGCCGGTGGTGACAGCACAGTTTCCAACTTACAGAAACAAAGCCCTCAGAATGAGCACTGACCACAGACACGGGAGTGCCCTCTGCCTGCCCTCTGCCATGCCTCTTGACTTACGAGGCCTGGGGAATTCTCTGTAGGACAAGTTACTATCATCATGGAATAAAAGGAGGAAAGAAAAACTAAGGTGTGCACATGAACAGGCACCATTTCACCCTATCCTGGTGTGCCATATGGATTTCCTCGTGCGGCTGAGACTCGCTCCACCCATGTGAAGCCATGCTCGGAGCCTCAGCAGCCACTCTTAGGATAAATATGAAGGAACACTCTGGTCCAAGGGGACATGGGAAGCGGGTGCTGGGGGCCTCGTGGGCTGAGGTACCCACTGCATGGCACAGGCTGGAGAAGGGAACGCACTCGCACATGCGTGGTGCAGGGACTCAGGGCACCAGCCTTGTTGAGGGAGGACGACACGGCAGCTAGGAGCTGACTGCTATGCCGCTAACCAGCACTGGGACACGAATTGCTGATGCAGAATCGGCTTAGCTCTGACCTTCGACCCTTATTGCCTGTGAGAGTGGGTTCTAGTTCTCATGTCAGAACTCCCCTCTATCTCCACCGAGTGATTGTTTTTAGCAAAGAGAAGTCTTACTCTTATCGTAGTTGGGGTTGGAGTGCTCGCGCAGCGCTTCCTGTATGCACTGCACCTGCTGGGACACGGCCGAGAGCATCCGCTCCTCCAGGCGGTTAAACTCGTCAAAGCAGCCCCACGCGCCCACCTGACAAAGCCCCACAAAGATACGTCCCATCGCCTGGAATGGAACAAGAAAAAACTGTTAGTTACAAACAACTGTGTCCCCTTCAAGTCACACATTACAATCTAAGCCCCAGTGATGATTCGGAAATGGCCTTTTGTGACAGACAGCGAATGAGGCGAGGAAGTGGACATCAGAGGGGAGGCCACACAGGGACAGTGGCCGTCTACAGGCCTCACCTGGAACCAACTCTACCAGAACCATGACCTTGGACTTCCTGCATCCAGAACTGTGAAAAGATGGGTTTCCACTGTTCAAGCCAGGCCATGGTGGCTTGCAATGGTGGCCCCGACACACTACGCTGCCGCTGCCCCAGGAGGAGCTGGGCAGAGCTTGAATGACTCGTTCAAGCTTAGGCGAGGCCCATCTTTCTGACAGTGGACTCCTCACTTTAAAATGAATTCCTCCCAACCTCCCCTGTGGCTGTGAAGGTGACACTCCTATGCCAGGGGAGGGGCCTAGGGCCTCTGGTGACAGAGGTGACAGGCATTTCATAAATAGACACAGGGGGACTATATGATGTTTTTCTTCCTGTGCCAGTAAAAACACACGGACAAAGTCAGTTTTAGTCTATCATGTTTTGTTGATTAAAAAAAAAAAAAAATCCATGGGGCTGGGAAGGTGGCTCAGTGGTAGAGTGCTTGCCTTGCATGCATGAGGCCCTGGGTTCGATTCCTCAGCACCATATAAGCAAAAAGAAAAAAAAAAGCCAGAAATGGTGCTGTGGCTGAAGAGGTAGAGCGCTCGCTTTGAGCTGAAGAGCTGAGGGACAGTGCCCAGCCCCAGAGTTCAGGCCCCATAACTGACCAAAAAAAAACGAAACAAAACAAAACAAAAACAAAAAACTAAAGGCCAGACACAGCACACCAAACTACATGTAAGGCGAACAGCTTTGAGAGGAGAAAACTCAATGGTCCGGACAGAACCTGTAACATTTCTTACCTGGAAGTCAAAGGTTTCATCACAGTTGAAAACTAAGACAAAGCGCCCAAGCTGATGGCCCAGGGCTTTAACAGACTCCGTCTTCCCGGTCCCAGCAGGCCCTATTGTTTGAAGAAAAGTAATTGAGTACCTTAATGAAAACATAGCTTTAGCTGGAAGACAGCTGGAAAATGCAGTTTACGTGATAAGCCAGAGCAAATAGACACAATAAAAACAAACTTAAGATTTCATGTTTACTATGTAATGAACATATTCACATCTTCACCTTACTCTTTAAAAATTAAGCTTATGACACGATCAGCTCCGCCTAGCGTGTGGGGTAACTTACCGAATGGGGAGCCCCCGAGCCTGGCCTCCAAGGCCTGCGTCATTGTCAGATAGCAGCGGTCAGTGAGCGGGGTCTGGACCAGCTTGTCTTGAACCCCCAGGTACTCGAAGCCGTAGTTAAATTTGGCATTTGCCATTTGAATTGACAATTGCTGCAGCACATCCGTTTGCTTAGGGTCAAAGTAAAACCGCATCTGGCTGAGCCACTCAAATGATTTGGGGTTGTCAATCTTGCTTTTGATCAAGGATCTGGTAACGTCTCTCTGGTGAACCAACTCTGTAATCTGAGGAAACAGAAGATTGCCATTAACTATAAGATTGGAATAAAACATAAATAAGTGTGGAAATGAAATGCCCCTTCCTGTGTAACCCATGCAAACTAGTAATAATAAAAAAGTAGCCCAGTACATCCTCTGGGTTTGTGAATTACTTGTTAAACTTAAAATAAGGTTCTAGGTCAGTTCCAGCAGCTTTTGGTAAATAATGCAATACACAAATCCGCTTCTAGAGACAGCATAAATGGTATTCACGTGACAGTGCAGAGATTCAACAGCTAAGCAAAACCAAACACCATCACCCACTGTAGACAGGGAGCCGTCACCACAGGCCACATCCTGCCTCATGGGGAGAGACGAGGGGAAGGAGTGACACAGCCTGACCAGGGTGGCCACCGACTGTCTCCCGTGAGGAAGTCTCATTCCAGAAGCCAGCTGCCAAAAGCATTTCCAAGAACAGAGCCCAGCATCACCAGAGCGCGTGAGTGGCCTTCTAGTTTTCTACTGGACACAGAAACATTTCCAAGTAAACCTCCACTGACTGCCTGAAGAAGCCGCAGGAAGCCTAAGAGGCGGGAAGGGGCCAGGCCTGACTCACCAGGTGCTCCAGCTTCCTTCTGCGGAGCGGGGGCTGCTCCATGAGGACGGAGTCCGCTAACACGTTCAGAGTGACCTCAACGTTGCTCAGCACAGACTGCAAAGGCGCAGTGTCCCCACCTCCTCCGATGCTGCTCAGCGCGTTCTCCACATTTTCAGACCAGGCTATCTGGGCTGACAAAACCACAAGCTGGGCCTGAAGGAAAAGACAGGAGAAGTACAGGGTAATTTCTTTTCTTTTTTCATAAATTTGAGATGGGCTCTCCCTGAACTCCCAGGCTTAAGCAATCCTCTGCTTCTTCCTTCCAAGCTGCTGCAATGCAGACACACTATGCGCATGTGTCAATTGAACAGGGTCTCCTGAAAGCCAGCTGGTGCTTCCATCTCCAGCCTGCCCACTTCTATAGATTACCTGGTATTTATCGATCCAAGTGATGTAGGTGCTTGGGTCAATTGATGTCGCTTTGCCAAAAATTTCCACCTCTGTAACAGACTCAGCAAGAAGTTTAGCCAAGGTGACTCTCATCTCCTTCTCCACCAGCGTGAGCCACTCATTGATTTTGGGATGTTCGGTGATGGACACAGGAGTTTTAAACATAACCTTGAAATTAAGAAAACATATTAAGAATTAAGAACAGCAGAGATAAGCAATGTTTTCTAGATTGCAAACATCAACTTGACCAACCTCCTCCCCTTCTCGGGACGAGATGCCCAGGACCACAGAGTTATCCTCGTTCAGAATGATGCTCGAAACACCAGCAAACATTTTCTTGAAGTGTTTCTGCAATTTAGCTACGTTCTTGCTGTTTCCAATGATTTCAAGCAAATCTTCATCACCCACAAAATAGAACCTGAAATTAAGACAGCATCCAATTGACTCCCCTTTCCACATAGAACTAAGTGACGAGGGCAAAACAAGGATGCACAGAAGAGGAAAGATGTGACTGTTGGTGGAAATCTCCAGTCCAAAGTCATATCACGTCCCTATCTCTTCCAGACCTGAGCAAAAAATACACATTTATCCAGCAAGATTTTTGAAGCAAAAAGAAGTCAATGTCATTACTTAGCCACATTAGTATCCCAAGCCACTACTGGGAAAGAAAAAAGGCCTCCTGGGAAGGAGCTAGACAGTGGTTCGAACCATGCACGTTGCCTCAGGAGGACGATGGGGTGAAGCTGCTCAGTAAAGCCCAAGTGGAAAATCAGAAACTGGGGTGCAATCAGTGCACAAAAGGCAAAGTGTTCAGTAAATAACTCAGTCAAAGCCCTGGGTGTCAAAACTGACAGCAAATAGGCCAGAGGAGACAACAACAGCTGGAAGGAAGCACAGGAGGACGGAAATGCAGCTGGAGCTCAGCTCGAGGAGAAGCAAACCAGCTCTTACCTGGGGAAAGACGAGCGCTCTCTTTCCAGGTATTCTCCAAGGGCCTTCTGGATCTTTCCAAGCAGGTCTGCCAACCTTTCTAGAGACCTTTGCACGCCCTGGATGTTCAGAACATCCATAACAAGGGGAGACTTGGATACTTTTTTCATAAGAGCCAAAAACTCTGTGCTGATACTAGAAATCAAATGAGAACATGTGTCAGCGTGTGGGTACCGGCATCCCCAGCCCGGCTGACCCCTGGCTCCCTGGCCAGAGGCCATACCTCTGGAACCGCTGGGTTTCCACAGGCAGCAAGTGTTTGATGTCTGCACTGCCTGTGAAGATGCCTTCCAGGTAGACCCATCGCCTCTGCACGTCAATCCATACGTCAAAGAGAGCCATGATCCGGTTCAGTTTGTCTTCCCAGGACAGGGCATCCTCCTCGAAAACCTGGTGGGTACACGGGAGGGCAGGGTTCAACAGCTGGACTTTACTCACAGACATGCCAAAACTCATTAGAAAATGCAGACTAAGATCAACCCCCACTTCAGAAAACAAGCATCTAGCAACTTGCAGTGCAAGGTCCCACCATGAAGGCAAAGAAGGGTACCTTGTAATATGGAGAGAGCTTCATGGCGGAGACACTGTTAATGTGCTCTTTGACTTTGTTGAAGAGGTCATCCCAGCCTCGGATCAGGCGGCACTTATTCTGATAGTTGACCAGGTCCAGTTCGTAGGTATTCCATACTTCCCGTATCTGAGTGAACCACAGAGGGCAGTGTTACAGTGTTTCCAGATATTTGTCAAAGCCCAGAGACCACACATTAGGGAGACAAGAGACAGCAGAGGGGAAGGCTTTGACTCACAAGCTTAAATCCACACAACAGACTGAAACATGGAAGGAGCCGTCCACCCCAGCACCTGCCTGCTTCAAAAACTCCTCCAGAGCCATCTCCCCCTGTGCCACCAGCAGCACATCCTTGACAACAGCTTCGTTCTTCTGCAGGTCCACATCCCAGATCTGGCCGAGGGTCAACTCCGAAAGCACCCAGTTAACATGTAGCCGCTTCATCAGTTGTTTCCAGTGCCGGTCTTTAAGTGCTTCAGATTTCAGTTCAATCACCAGCATGTTGATCTGAGAAGAGAGCACAGAGACCCTTGCTTAAGTGTGCCCGCATTGGATACCCGCCACCACCTGTCGCAACTCCCTACCTTCATATAGCCTTTCAGCAGCCTCTGAACAAACTCATAGGAGGCGTACTGTCGAAGCCGGGCAGGAAAATTCTTCAGCTGGTTCAAGAGGCCATCTAAGTTTTGTCGAAGCTGTCAAGAGGCACAGAGGATATTTAGCTTGCCAATATTTTTTTTAAGTAGTGTAACAGTCTTTGAAATAGCCCTATTTTTATTAGTCTGGATGAATCATGCAAACGACACACAGGAGAATAACATCTGTGAGCTCCCATGCATTTCAACAAGACTTACCTTTCGAGGCTGTACTGAAACCCATGGCTGCTCCTTCATCTGATCTATTTGTTCCCAGACTTTAGAAAGCTCTGACCAAACGCCTTTGAGGTCCTGTAATTCCTCTAAGGCCACCTGTGATTGAGTGTAACAAAGCAGTTAAACTTTGGAAATAGAAGTCACCTTACAAACGAAAAAAGGAAAGGAGGGAGAGAGGGAGGGAGGGAGGGAGGGAGGGAGGGAGGGAAAGAAAGAACTAAAGAAAGAACCAATTCGCCATGAAACCAAAGAAAAGAAACTACCCCAGAATGTGGTCAGGCCAGAGACGCAGCTAGCTCGGTGGATGTCAATGGAGCAGGACCCATCCTGGGGGAGGGTAGGCAGTATCCGTACCTGCACGCGCTCCTCGCTGCCACTGAGGAGGCCCGTGTCCGTCAGCTCCAGCGCCTCTTTGGCCTTTGCACATTTCTCTCTGTCATCCTTCAGTCTGCCAAATTTTCCTTCGTATATGGTCAGAGCCTGAAGAGCCTCCTCGGGGCGAAGATTGCCCTGAGAGTGATCAGAACACAGAATACTGCACTGACTGAGGAGAGAGGATCACTGGGGCTTTACATGGTGGACGTGCTGCTGGCTCATGCTTGTATTCCTAGCTACTCAGGAAGCTCAGATCTCAGAATACTGGTTCAAAGCCAACCTAGGCAGGAAAGTTAGTAAAATTCTATCTCCTTGTCCACCATTAAACATTGAACTGGAGCATGGTTCAAGTGTATAAAAGCTGAGTGAAAGGGCTGGGAAGGTGGCTCAGTGGTAGAGCGCTTGCCTTGCATGCCTGAGGCCCTGGGTTCGATTCCTCAACACCACATAAGCAAAAAGAAAAAAGCTGCAAGTGGCACTGTGGCTCAAGTGGTAGAGCGCTAGCCTTGAGCTGAAGAGCTGAGGGACAGCACCCAGGCCCAGAGTTCAGGCCCCACGACCGGACCCCCCTACCCCCCAAAAAAATTTAAATGACTGTCATTGTGGTTAAAAGAGATCAAAAGTTAGCTTTACATTTACTACCTGCAAGTATTTTCCCCCCCTTTGTTGGTGCTGAGGATTGAAGTCAGGACTTCAGATATGTCCAGTAAGTCTCCAGCGCCGCATTGCTTTTTAGACAGGGTCTCCACTAAGCAGCTGGAACTACAGGTGTCTACTTCCACATCCTGCTGCAATGCAAACACAGCTTTCTGTGTGTGTGCTGGTCCTCGGGCTTGAACTCAGGGCTTTGGCGCTGCCCCTGAGCTTTTATGCTCAAGGCATGTTCTACCACTTGAGCCACAGCTCCACTTGTGTCTCTGGTAGTTAACGGAAGGCAAGAGTCTAATGGGACTTTCTTGCCTGGTTTGGTTTCCAGCCACAATCCTCAGATCTCAGCCTCATGAGTAACAAGAATTATAAGCAAGTACTGCTTTTTTAAGTATAAAGAGGAAATGTAAGTATTGCAAAGTTACAGCGCTGTATGTGTGGAAGGTAAGCAGAGCAGGTGGAGCGGGTAGCTGGCACGTGGCAGGGCTCACCGTGACAGGCTTGGTCTTCTCCCAGTCTGACAGTAGGTCAGTGGTACGGCTTTCCACAGCCCGGTCCTCCTGCACAATCTTCATCTGCAGGTTTGCCACCTGCTGCTGGATGGCAGAGTCCTTCCTCCGCATGATGTCATTGAAAGCCCCCCACTCTCCCTCGATGTTGTCGATGTAAAGCCAGGAGGGGGGGAACTGGAACCTTTGTTTTTCCAGCAGACGTTGACCATTGCGGTAAAGCTTTGAGAATTGAATTGAAAGATTCATAGAATTAAAAAAAACAAAACAACGGAAAGGTATAATTATTTTGACATTAAGACAAAACAACTGTCAAAACCTCTATTCTCCCAGTTTTCCACCCTAACACGACTGCGCCAGAGGACAATGCACTGAAAGTGTGGCTCACTCGCCAGCTACTACCCCGAGGTCCTGATGAGAACAGAGCATGGGAATGCTGGGCTTCGCTCTTTTGTTTCAAACACAAAGGACCTCAAATCCTTGAAAACAAGGACAGCAAAGGATGGTATATACAGCAGTGGCTCTCAGGCCTTGTCGGGCCTAGGAATTGCGTGCAGAGCTTTGCAAGCACAGACCCCAGGGTGCTACTGTCTGCACTGAATTGTAGTAAGGACATTAGGTGTCCTGACAGGTTACCGCCGAGTAAGGAAGGGTGCTTTACAGCTGGGTCAGGACATTCCCTACATTTTAGAAGCCCAAGCACACTGCTCTAGTCTGAGGGCTGCTACCTAGAGAGCTCACCTCAACTTGTTTCTCAAACTGTTTGATCTTCCGTTTCAGAGACTGCACGTAGGTGATGAAGGTCACAGCATCAGAGGTGCTGGCTGTGTCTACGGAGTGCTGCTCCAGCTCTTGGCGAGACTGTTTGGGGAAAGCACGTTTTATCACAGGGCTCAGATTCACCCACAGCCTCACTACACAGGCAGACCTCTACCTCCTCACCTTCGAGATCTGAGAATGGAATTCCGTCATGTTTGATCCTAGCATCTGACCAAATTTGCTGAGAACTTCCTTATGCCAGGAGTCGTACTTCAGGTTCACCTTGGATTGCACCTGAGGGGGAAATGCACACAAGGACGCCATCAGTTCTTCCTGCAGCCATGGTACAGGAAACTTCCCGCCTTCCTTCTAGGAACGAAGCTGAGCTCACCTTGCCATAATCTATAACCACTGGCCCAAACTCTTTCTTGGTTTCAGCATTGTCGAAAGTTCCTCTAGCCTTCCTGATCTGAACCAGCAGCGCCTGCCACTTGTTGAGGTCTTCCCCAAGGCGGTTGTAGATGTTTTCAGCTTGCATGTCCCACAGGCACTGGTACTGAAGCCACACCTGCACGTGGGACGCACGGTTAAGTATCACCGTTTAGGTTTTCATCTTATGGACTGTTACTAGTTACCACGTTCACGCTCCATTAAGAAGGCTCATGTTTTCATCATCACTACAAACTCACTTTAGAGTCTCAGAATCAGATTTAGTCTTCTCAAAAATCATAGTTAAAACCCCAAGAGATGTATCTTACTGGTCACTCTTCACTTTGAAATAAGCCAGTACTACCTAGTAAACACTACCATGTATGGTCAAAATGTTTGTCCTGGAGTGCTGGGTACCAAACCCATGGTCTCTGAGCTACACTTATCTCTACCCTTAAGTGTCTACAATAGAGCACAGTGCATGTAGATGAAATCAGGAGCTGTGTACCTTAACATACTGCTCCACCTCGGTCACGATGCCCATGACTGCAGAATAGGACTCTTCCAGGGCAACAGGGCCATCAGGCATGCGCGTTAAAGCATTCCGATAGAATTTCTCTTCTTCAGTCAATTCGTAATGCACGCCCACCTGACCAATGGAAGCCAGAAATGAACACCAAGCAGTGTGCACAGAAATGCTCATCACAGTCACCAATGGCAAACTCAGTATTTAAAGAGGATCACATCCTCTTACCTTCATCACAGCTAACCCAAGGCCTACTTATATTTAACCAATAAAAGGAGTATTAGTTCACCACACTGTACCACTATCTGAGGTAAGAGTAGCTGAAGAGCACACAGAACTGTGTTCAACTGTGAATTCTTGCTACGTGTGTACTAGGTACTATTTTAAGTACAATAAGTAAAAAAAAATCCTTGATCATGTGAACTCACAGTTTAGGAGAGGAAAAACAATAAAGGAATACACAAAACATATACAGATAGGGAGAATTCTATGGCGAAAGGGCAGCAAGGAGTATAGGAAGGATGTGTGTGTGTGTGTGTTTTACTTGTTTTTCTGCAGTGCTGGGGCCTTGTGCATGGTAGGCAAGTGTTCTACCACTGAGCTATATAGTGATATGGCAAGGCCTGGTTGTATTTAAGATGAGTCAGGAAAAGGCCTCACCAGAGGGTGAACAGCTATGCTGGGCATTGGTGGCTCACGCCTGTAATCGTGACTACTCAGGATTTAAGAATCACGGTTCAAAGCCAGTCCAGGTAGAAGAAGTCCGAGAAACTTTTTCTTGTTGGTTGTGGGGTTTGCACTCAGGGCCTGGGCCCACTGTCCCAGAGCTCTGTTGCCTAATGTTCTACCACTTTGAGCCAAAGTTCCATTTCTGGGTTTTTTGGGTTTTGTTTTTTTTTTTGGTCGGTCATGGGGCCTGAACCCTAGGCCTGGGGGGCCCTGTCCCTGAGCTCTTCTGCTCAAGGCTAGCGCTCTACCACTTGAGCCACAGCACCACTTCCAGCTTTTTCTACTTATGTGGTGCTGAGGAATCGAACCCAGGGCCTCATGCATGCAAGGCAAGCACTCTACCACTGATCCACTTTCCCAGTCCCCACTTCTGGTTTTAAGTGGTTAATTGAAGATAAAGAGTCTCACAGGGACTTTTATGCTCAGGATGGCTTCGAACTGTTCAGATCTCAGCCTCCTGAGTTGCTAGGATTATAGGTATGAGCCACTGGTACCTGGCTGAGAAAAATCTTACCTCCAATTAACCACAAAAGGCCAGAATTAGAACTGTGGCTGAAGTGATAGATCACTAACCTTGAGTGAAAAAGGTCAGGGACAACGCCTAGACCCTGAGTTCAAGCCTCAAAACTGGCACACACAAAGAAGTGACAGCCAGGAAAAGACCAAAAGAAGGGATAAAGCAAGCCATGTGACTGTTACTCTCAGCAAGTGCAAAGGCCCAGGGACCAGAGTACATTTAATCTGCATATCAGTGAGAGTTCAGTGTGCTAACAGAGCCTGCAAGGGGAGAAGCAGGAGGTAAGGCCAGAGAAGCAATGAGCAGCCCATACTGACACGGGGCCCAGCAAGCACTGAGAGCTGTCGGCTTTCCTGCTGAGTGAGACAGCAGAAGGTTAAAGGGCTTCAAGAGAAGCAATATCAGGATCAACGCAGAACTCAAGACCTTCGGATTTTAGGGGGAAGAGCAGCGGGAATGGCTGAACCGAAAGAGGACGGCACCTTAGACAGGGGAGTATCACGGAGCCCAAGTTGGGGGAAGGCTTACCTGGTACCTCTGACTCTGGATGCGGGGGAGGGACAGCACCACCATCTTCCAGGCAAACATTTCCTGGTATAGCTTGTATCTGCACTCCTCGATCGGAGGGTTCAGATAGATTACCTGATTGGTTATTCTTAGCTCATGAACAACGTTCTGTAAAACAAAGGTTTCATTTTCCTCTTAGCAATGTATTTCAATAAAATGCTTTCAATTCTTAACGCCCACTCTAAGCTATCAAACTACTTACACCTGAATCACAAAGTCTATGACTTTACAGGACAGGGTCTTACATAATCTCACGTTTCTCATTCGCCCCCTTTCAAGCTCTTGAGTGGCTGGAGGTGGGAGCTGCTCATCTGTTGCTCACCTCTTCCCAGGTCCCTGTGCCTGGGCACGAATACACAACTAGAGCTTAGTGAGTCCCTTCTAACTCCATATACCTGACACCTGAACCACATATGACCTCAGGCCTGAGAAACCAGTGCAGTCAATTTGGGGAGGGAAGCACTGGATGTCAGCCACAAAGGCACTGATTTAAGCATGCCAAGTTAAGCCTGTCATCTGCCAGTGTGTTAGGCTAAATTCCACCTCTAGCCAAGTGCTGATGGCTCACGCCTGTAATCCTAGCTACTGAGGAGGCTGAGAGCTGAGGATCATGGTTCAAAGCCAGCCCAGGCAGGCAAGTCCGAGAGACTCTTATCCCCAATAAACCACTCAGAAAACTGCAAGTGGTGCTGTGGCTCAAGTGGTAAAGCACTAGCCTTGAGCTGGAGAGCTGAGAGATAGCTTCCAGGCCCAGGGTTCAAGCCCCATGACAGACAAAAAACAAAACAAAAATATACCTTGGGAATAAATACCATAAAGTTAAAAACAAAACAAAAAAAAACAAACTGGGCTGGGAAGGTGGGTCAGTGATAAGAGTGCTTGCCTAGCATGCATGAGGCCTTGGGTTTGATTCCTCAGTACCACATACACAAAAAAGCTGGAAGTGGAGCTATGGCTCAAGTGGTAGAGCATAAGCCTTGATCAAAAGTAGCTCAGGGGGCTGGGAAGGTGGCTCAGTGGTAGAGCACTTGCCTTGCATGCATGAGGCCCTGGGTTCGATTCCTCAGCACCACATAAGCAAAAAGAAAAAAAGCCAGAAGTGGCGCTGTGGCTCAAGTGGTAGAGCGCTAGCCTTGAGCTGTACAGCTGAGGGACAGCGCCCAGGCCCAGAGTTCAGGCCCCATGACCGGACTCAAAAAAAAACAAAACAAAAGTAGCTCAGGGACAGGGCCCAGGCCCAGAGTTCAAGCCCCAAGACCGGCAAAAACAAACTCACAAACAACTAAAAACTTAAGAGTAAAAAAGAGGTTTTAACAACAAATCCAGTTGCTTCTCTTGGCTCACTCTTTACTGAGCTTCCGTTCTGTGAGACACAAGGCTGAAAGCACTGACGTAGGTCTGTCAACTACAGGGCAGACTTAAGTCAGGTTACAAGGGAGCTAATCCAATATACAGCATCATGTTTTGTCATTAACACCTTCTCAGCTTTCTCTCCTGTTTCACAATCTGGACACTCGGGACAGTGGTGGTCAGATGTTCTACAGTAAGCTGCAGGGATTTGGGAAGGAGTAACAGCGGTGAACCACGTGACATCACACGGCACGTGGTTTCCTCGCTGTAAATGAAAAGTTTGGCAACTACTGCTTTTTTTTTTTTTTTTTTGGGTCCGGTCGTGGGGCCTGAACTCTGGGCCTGGGCGCTGTCCCTCAGTTCTTCAGCTCAAGGCGAGCACTCTACCACTTGAGCTACAGCGCCACTTCCGGTTTTCTGGTGGTTTATTGGAGATAGGAGTCTCATGGTCTCTCCTGCCCGGGCTGGCTTTGAACCGCGATCCTCAGATCTCAGCCTCCTGAGTAGCTAGGATTACAGGTGTGAGCCACCAGCGCCCGGCACTTTTTCTGCTGTTTAATGTGGGGAAAAGGAGCCTGGGACCTTGCACATGCCAGGCAAGTGTTCTGCCGGAACTACATCCCCATCTCAGAGCCTTACGCTTGCTAGACAGGCAACCTACCACTTGAGCGGCACCTTCAGCCCTTTTCGCTTTAGTTTCTTTTTCAGATGAGATCTCTCTCATGCTAAGGCCAGTCTGAGACTCTGTTGCATAGCTGGAATTATAGGCACACGTCACCAAATAACGTATTTTGTTATTTGTTGAGATGAAGTCTTGCTCATTAACTTTTTACCCAGGCTGGCCTCAAACCATGAAACTCCCATTTCTGCCTTCTGTTTTTTGTTTGTTTTTTGGCAGGGGCTCACTAAACAGTGCTCGGCTAGCCTGGCACTCATAATCTTCCCACCTCAGACTCTGGAGCACTGGGATTACAGGCTTGGCACTGCCTCGCCTGGCTCCCATAGGTACATGAGCAGAGCGTTTGCCTCTGCTTTCCCACAAGTGGATGCCACAGTAAGTACTCACTTTGATCTTTGGCTCTCCACCAGGCTTGTGACTAAGTTGTGGAGCATCTGTGTCCATGTCGACTTCTGCTTTATCTTCAGCCTGGCCCAGAAGCACCTGGGTCCAAGCCCTTAGGCCTGCTTGTAGACGGACGCCCAGTATCCTTTCAATCTAATTCCAAAGGACAATCAGAAGGCAGTAGGTAAATTTTGGATGAAAGGTGACAAGTTCTTCCTCGGATTCTGTCACCTTCAGTCTCAGACAGCACATCTCAGGCTGTGTTCTCCTGCCTGCTAACAGAATCGCCAGTCCTCCCAACGTATAGGGACAAGGAAGCGACACAGTGCAGCAGATGCAGTGAGGTCCTGAGGTCTGCTCAATACCTTAAGAACTCACAAAACCACCAGGCGCCAGTGGCTCACGCCTGTCATCCTAGCTACTGAAGAGGCTGAGATCTGAGGATCAGGTTCAAAGCCAGCCCGGGCAGAAAAGTCCGTGAGACTCTTATCTCCAATTAACCACTAGAAAACTGTGGCTCAAGTTTGAGCTGTGGCTCAAGTGGTAGAGTGCTCGCCTTGAGCTGAAGAGTGCAGTGATAGCACCTAAGAACAGAGTTCAAGCCCCACGACTGACCAAAAACCAAAAAACAAAACCCCCCCAAAACTCACAAAACCAAAGTGCTTTTGTGGGGCTGGAGAGGTAGCTCGGTGGCACAATGCTCGCCGCACATGTGCCAGGCCCTGGCTTCCATCCCCAGCAGAACACATGCACATGTGTGAAAACCCACACTCTGTCTTTTTCTCCTGGAAGTCTCAGACATAAAATAAGAAAAACAATAATTTTGGAGATGAAATCATTTTCTTTCAACAAAGAGAAAGCCTTCTTATGATCCAGAATGAGCCAAACGTCAATGAACAGGAGGATCCCTGCCCACCTCTGTTAGCGTATGTCTCGGGCCACGCAGCTGTGCTGGGCCAGCTCCAGGGACTTTCCGTCCATCTGTGGACGGGGAACTCTTCTGCTGGTGTCCTTTGTGTGGCGTGGATAGAAGCAACTGATCTCTCCATGTTCAAAGAGAGATAAGAGAGATGGAAAACTATAGCTTGAGACCTGACCAGGCCACTGACCTGCAACCTCTGCTGTAAAACGTGCCCCTGCCAGGCCACTCCGTATGTGCCGAGGCCCCAGTCACCCTGGTGAGCAACCACACACCCTCGCCCTCACCCTCAGGGGTGAGCCGAAAGCCTCTACACTAGGAACGAAGGGTGTTTTGTAGTTGGGCATTTCTTTCTAAACCGGGCTGTGGAAGACCAGGGTCTGAGCACGGTGCCTAGAGGGCTAGGAAAGACTGTCAAGTATCCAGCAGAGAAAAGGACTCATCCCATATAGTGCCCAGCTGGGAACTGCATAGGTAGGACATGCAGTATCACGACTCAGCTCTAGCATTAACCGGATTCCACGGGGAGCCAGGTCATCCAGGGAACTTATAAGGAAAGTGCTGAAAACACCTCAACAACCCCTCGCCTACCTCCATATCGAGCTTGTTGACCCAGATGGGCAGGTTGGAGTACGAGTGCAGATTCAAGTCATCCACGGCTTTCTGGACTCTGTTCAGGATCTCAGAGAAAGTCTTATGATCATACATGCAGGTTTCCAAGGAACGGACTTCCAAGTCTATTTTTTCTTCAATAATCAGGAGATCATCCACCTAAAGAAAAATGCACTTAATACTTAAATGGCCACTTGCTCTAGTCTACTTTTACACATTCTTCTCAGGAAACTCACACAGGCTCGAGGCAGAAGTCTTTCCTTCCATAGCTAAGCCTAGCCGATGGACTGCAGGCAGTCCTCACCTCCATGTCCCCACAGGGGAGGGGCAAGTGGGGGGTCACCAGCTTCTCTCCCCTACTCCTCCACAGGAGGGTTCTCTGATCTCTATGTCTGAGTGTCTAAGTGCCCCAGGGAGGCAGCCTGGGCACAGCTACATGTTCTGGGCCAGGAGGTCTACAACTGTCCAGCTGGGCTGGAGACTGGGAAGTCTGACGAGAGGAAAGCAGATGAGCACTCGCAGCTGTGGATCTAGCCATGCTTCCTCCAGCCACAGGGGTGTGCTCTTGCTTGGCCTGTCAGCCTCCCATGTCCTCTCTCTGGGATTCTGAACACAGGGTTGCTCACAGCCTCCCTGCAGCCCCACCCCCACTGGAAGCATCAGCCACCAACCATGCAGGCTGTCTGTGGAAGAGCTGGCCTGTGTGTGCCGACTTAGTACCATCTATACTCCTGAGCCTTGGGAGAGAGTACCTTTTCCTGGAAGTTGAAGACTGTCTCTGCGAGGCGCTGCACGTAGGGGTCGAGTTTATAGGATTCCCACACCAAGGCAATGCCCTCTGCGATCAAGGCCTGCACTTCCTTTTTCAAGCCAGCGACCAACAGGGAAATGGTGTTCCGCTCCTCCACTTTCTCGCAGGTTCGCTCATATGTCCGGACGCTTTCAATCAGGGAGATGGCAAACGGGTAAAGCTGGTTTGCTTGATGGGCCTTGTTCACGATGGCCAACGGGACCCGGAAGCCGAGCCACTTGAGGTTCCGGACTTCTTTTGAAAGTGTGATGATCTCGGGAAGAAAGTTCACTTTGAGTTTAAGGACATTACCAGTTCGGCCCCGAACACGGGTGCTTTCAATGGTGAAGATGCGCCCCGACACGCCCAGGTTGCGCTGCTGCACCTTCCTTGCCCAGTCATCAAAGATCTCCTGGGTGTTGAGCTTCATGCGGAAGCTGTCTCCGTCCTGCTTCAGTTTCTGTCCTTCCACATGGTTCTCCCAGCCCTTGCCAAGGACATCTTCCACTCGCTTCATGTAGGCAGTGAGCTGTCTGTCAATCTGTTTAGCCCAGATGATAGACCCTGACACAGGGGGCAGATCACGAACGTGACTCATCTTACAAGCCTGACTTTGTGGATATTGGACCTTGAACTTGTCGTGCAGAGATTCAATGTCATCTTTAACCCGCTGGATCAACTGGGTCTGGTATTCACGGATAGCCCCACGGATGTGAGGTCGGACAAACAGCGCATTGAACCTGGAGAAAATCCTGAACATCTCGTTGGCATTCTTGGCTGTGCCGAGCTGATCTCGAAGGCGCGCCGTGATGCGGGTCTCCACTCGGTCAATCCTCTCGTCGTACCTCTTCATCGCTGCCTCCCAGGCCTCTGTGCCTTCTTTGGAGACGTCTAGCCCATCAACTTCCTTGACATTCTCGTAAGCCAGATTCACCTCTTCAATAGCGTTGGCGTCTGCAGCATCGAAGAGAACCTCCGCCACCTTCATGTCTTGGGGTTCAGGAACCTCACCTTGATTCTGCTGTGCAACAGCTGTGACCTAAAGGAAAGATTTGTAAAAATGACTGTGAAACAGATTTAGTTTTTTTTTTTTTTTTTTTTTTTCGTGGGGC